CTTCCTCGCTGAGCCTCACGCTTCTTACCGATCCGGCACAACCCACACGTTCCGGCAACCCGGTCACGCGAGACACATGCCCCGACCTCTCCCTCACCCGTCACATCCGCGATGATACATGGGAAAGTTTAGGCGAAACCCTAGGTAGTGATCACTTTTTACTCCGCATTTCGTTCACACCACGGCAAAAAATGCGTCAACACTGGGGCCAAGCCCGTCTCACTGATTGTACTCAGTTCAGAATGCAACCATTCCCCGCCGTCTTCTCCTAGACCGAATATGCCGCGGGGGCATCATACGCCCTCCATATAAAACAGGTGAACACTCACAACCTTGCAACCTCTAATTTGACTCCTGCAATCGATCCACACCTCCTACATCTTTGGCACGCTCGCCACGGGCTCGTAAGGCGCTGGAAACGCAACAAACTCAATCGGAAACTTCGCGCTCGCATTGAGGCCCTCACTGTAGAGGCGGCCGCATACTCTGCACAACTTTCCGATGCTAACTGGGCAGACACCTGTTCGAAGGCTGCAAACCAGATGCGCTCTAAGAGCACGTGGCGACTCTTTCGAAGCCTTCTCGATCCCTCCACCACCAGGGGAGGAACGCAATGACAGCTCCGCTGTGCTCTGCATGCCTTTCAGGGCACTACGGATCAACTCGCGCGAGAACTTTGTAACCGCTAACTCAGCCGCACAATTGATCCCGCAGGCCCAGCATATACGTATTCCGGCGCCCCTAACACCGACCTCGACACCCTATACACGCTCTCCAATTTACGATTCGCACTCACGAAAATGCGACGGAGCACGGCCCCTGGACGCGACGGAATCACAGTATCGCTCCTGGCAAATCTTCCCGACCAAGCACACCTCTCGTTACTCCACCTTATAAATTCGATATGGGACGGCTCTCCGATTCCAACGGAACGGACCACATCGTTCGTGACATTCATACCCAAATCGGCAAAGTCCGTTAATATCGAGGCACTGAGACCCATAAGACTTACGTCTTGCGCAGGCAAGCTCTTGGAAACCATGGTTCGCGAACCCCTTTCCACCTACCTGGAGGCCAGGAGGACCTTTGCCGGCACGATGTTTGCCTTTCACCCGCATCTGTTGGCGCAGGACGTTCTGCTCCAGCTTCAACACGATATCATAGAGCCGACAACTATGCGCCATAACTATAAAGCCGTGCTCGCTCTCGGTCTCCGCGGGGCGTTCGACAACGTCAAACACAGCACTATACTCACTAACCTGTCTACCACAAACTGCGGGCAGAAGACTTTCAACTACATTTGCGCCTTTCAATCACATCGGACCGCCTTCGTTCGCCTCAATTCTACTGAACATGACCCATGCTTATTAGGCACGTGGGGTACACCTCAAGCGGCCGTCCTGTCTTTTCTGCTTTTTGACCTGGCTATGATGAACCTCCTCTCTCTTCTAAGAGAGGTGGAGGGAATACAACACGCACTATATGCGGACGATATTACAATCTGGACCAACACCGGCTCCTTAGCGCAAATGGAAGAACGTCTGCACAAGGCTGCCCTTCTGGTGGACACCTACGCTGGTTCATGCAGCCTGGAGTGCTCTCCAGCTAAATCGGCTAGTCTTTCAGTCTCTCAGCTACCACCGCCTCAAATTTTTCTTCCGTCCGGGCTCGTCCCATCAGGTCAAAATATTCGGATTCTTGGGCTTCAATTCACATCGTCCTTGGATCCCAAGGGCACAATAGCAGGCCTCAGACGCACCAGCGAACGGGTGAGCCGCATGATACGGTGGATATCTACCAAGCGCGGCGGCCTCCGCGGGTCTCGGTCCCTCCGATTGGCCCACGCGTTTGTGACAGTCGGGTCCTCTACGCCTCACCTTACCTTCGCCTGCGTCGTCGACACGAGCACCAGCTGGACGTCCTTCTTCGTTCAGTATATAAACGTGCTCTGGACCTACCTAGTGCAACCTCCAACAGCCGATTCACGGCACTGGGGGTACACAACACCTTTGCAGAGATGCGCGCAGCTCATCGCGTTAACCAAATCAATCGACTGTCGCAGACGCCTTCAGGGCGCCGTCTTCTACACAGACTTGGCCTTAACCTGATATCTGACCAAGACCCTCTCCATCTGGTACCAGAGCTCTGGCGTCAAAAGCTATAGGTGGAACCTCTACCCCGTAATATGAACCCCGACCTCCATCCTGGCCGTAGACTAGCACGCGCCACGGCCCTTCATACGCGACAGTCCGATTATCCTGGTGTTCTCTATGTGGACGTCTCGGGTCCCTACCCCTCGGGTCACTTCACGGCGGCCTTGATTACAAAGGGCAAACACGTCGATGACCTCTCCTTTCGAGCAGACACAGTAACGCACGCTGAAGAGGTTGCCATAGCTCTAGCCGCCTCTCACCCTGCCTCACGCATCATCCTGACAGACTCGCGCTCGGCCTGTTCTCAGTACCTTCAGGGTTCCATTGCCCCGCTGGCGGCTCGCCTACTTCAGGCAGCCTCTTGGCGCTTTAACCCTCATCCTTTTCGTATAGTCTGGACCCAAGGCCACTCGGGCCTGCACGGCGACGAGGCGGCAAATGCCACTGCCCACGCTTCTCCTATCCGGGCCGCTGCCCCTCCATGTCTCGAGACGGAATCCGGCAACACCAACCTGACGCGCTTTCGCGAAATTTTCGCTTATTACCGGAATTCGCACCGCCTCTACCCGGACCCCGCACGCGGTCTGGAGAAAGCGGACGAACGACTGCTACGCCGCCTGCAGACGAACACCTTTATCAGTCCGGTGGTTGCCACGTACTTTTTGTCACAAATAAATGGCACCTCCTCGGCCTGTCATGTCCTCGCCGACACATATCGCGTCGCAGCATCGTGCCCAGTTAATCTCGTCCCTTTCTCATCCCCTTTCCCTATCCCAACTAGAGAGGCTTGGGAGGAGCACCTGCTCAGCTGCTCTACCTTGGCTGCGCAACGCTCTTTAGTGGAGCGCGCACGGGCAGCCTCCAGCTCCACTGGCGTCCCGAAATAGGGTCTGGCCACTCTAGCACGCCGATGCGCCACTTCGGCACTCTCTAGTAAACTTTTTCTGAAATAAATGTTTTTTACCACCACCTGCTTCTTATCGAACGCTGCTGGTCCATGCTTCCCACTGGTGGGTTTGCAGTGCCTGTATTTAGAAACGCTGCTTGACTTGGCTTGCCATCGACTTCAATACAGCAAGAACGCGTTTCGAACGCGCTGTCTTTAGGTGGTGGCAAGGCAGCACAAACGCACAAAGGAAATCAAACGCGCTGCATTGTGACAGCGGTTTTAACGCAGAAAAAAGCGATTCAGTGGCAGGGAGGATTGCTCACAAGAAGTGACGTGACGACGTTCTGTACTAATCGGCATTTCCAGTTCTGTATGATTTGCCTGGGCACACCGCGTCGTCTGCTTGATGGCAATTAGAGCACTAATTATAAATTAATACGCGACAGCAGGATTTTTCCCTGTCGTTACCGTAACATACCGTATGTATACTACGTATTTATGGCCTTTCCCGCCCAAGTAAAATTTTGTTGCAGTTGGCCTTTAATTAGTAAATGGGTAGCACTAGGACTTGCGCCGAAAACAAGCATATGCAAAAAATGGTCAAGAACGTAAGGGTTGCAGTGGTGCCTATACGTATTACTTTGATACAGCCGCCCCGTCGGGTAACGTCAATTGTGGTTAGTTGTCATGCGCTGAAGTTGATTTATGTAGCACTGTCCAGGGTCAGCCTTCTCGCGGGCTTCTGGTGTTGCTTATACGCATGTTCTAGTTGGTACCGTTGCGCAACTACAAACAAATGGTTTTATAACATCTGCAAATCTTTAACATATTTTTCTGCGTGCAACGATTTTACATATATTTTGCGTCATTTCATGACGTGTCGCTCATTCGAAAATTGCTACACAGTCACCTTACCTCCACATGCTTCGCATAACGTCAATTCCCAGGTACGTGGGGCCTGCCAATTTCTTTTACCATTGACTTAATTCCATCAGTCTCAGATTTCCGATCACGAACAACACTGCCAGTGTTCTCTCTAAATGTGTTGCTATAGTAGCGTTTGAAAACAGTGTTATTTGAAACTTCTTTCTATGTAACGTTTTTCGTGTGCTTGTAGAGTACATTCGTAATAAATACCACGGTAAAAGAAAGCGCGTATTTATGCGGTTCTGCATCCACAGGTGCCGAATCCAGCCAGCGCCGCTGGCTGAACCAAGAAACCAAGAAATTATATTTCGTTCTTTCTTTTGTATATATATATATATATATATATATATATATATATATATATATATATATTTCTTAAAAAGTCTTCCTGGACTCCGGTCGAGTTATATCAACAGAAGAAGCGAACGAGCAAACGAAAAACGATGCTTTATTGCCAAGGTTACGGCCGGGGACCGGCCTTCGTCAGAGCATACGTGCATATTACACTAACACGCACTTCTTAAAGCACTTCTTAACACGCACTTCTTAAGAAGTGCGTGTTAGTGTAATATGCACGTATGCCCTGACGAAGGCCGGTCCCCGGCCGTAACCTTGGCAATAAAGCATCGTTTTTCGTTTGCTCGTTCGCTTCTTCTGTTGATATATATATATATATATATATATATATATATATATATATATATATATATATATATATATATATATATATATATATATATATATATATATATATATATATATATATATATATATATTAGGTGAACTGAACAATACTGCTTTATATAGAGCAACAAAATGCAAATATGTATGAAAATGCAACGTGGCAGCAAATTTTTCAGAAAACTTACATTCACTCAATTCCACTTCAGTGATGGTGTTTTCTGCCAAGTTAATAACGAGCGCACCCAACTTTGAAGTTATTGGCTGACCGGCGCACGCACATGTATAATTGCTCTAAAGGCAAGCATCGACGCACACATACAGAACTGTACCCAGAGACCCGAACTGACCTGGACAGAGACGCCGAACCCTCGATACAGTCCAACGAGGCCGTCCGTTTTGAAGATCTTCGTAAGGCAGTTGCCCAGGCCAGTGAACTCCCGCTGTCCCGCACCCTTACCAGTGTCGGCGGCAAGCCTGGTTCGGGCGAAGTCCAGCGGGTAGACGAAGCACAAGGAGGTGGCTCCGGCTGCGCCTCCAGAGGCCAGGTTGCCGGCGAAGTAGCGCCAGAACTGTGTCCTTTTGTCGACACCTCCGAGGAAGATCTGCTTGTACTTGTCCTTGAAGGCGAAGTTCAACGCCTGGGTGGGGAAGTATCTGATCACGTTGGCAAGGTTGCCACGCCAGAAACTCAGGAAACCCTGTTCCTTGGGGATTCGAACGAAGCAGTCGATCATTCCTGCATGATGGGGAGAAGGAGAAACAGAGTAAATGTACGTTTTTTATTCTGTCTGTTTTCCCAACTGACAGCACAATTCTTTCCGGCAAGCTTTATCTCCACTTCCCTTCTTTTAGAGCGAAAGCTGTTATCATATCACAACATGGGTCACGTGCGCACCGTAGTTGTCCGTAGCCTCCGGTGTTCGTAGCCACTATCGCACAAAATAATAAAAAAACATTACGGACGCAACGGCATTTGAATGCGGGTGCCCTGCGTGTCAGCCCGGTATTCTACCAAAGAACCAGACCGGTTTTTTTTTCTTTTCAGCATGGTATTTCCAGAATGCGTAATAAAATAGTACGTCATATCGCACAGGGTTTCACTATTGCAGTCCTATATGGACAATGACTGTACAAGCATTGCTTGGAAAGAAACACAAAGGTTAAAATCCTATAGTCTAGGGAGAGTGCGTCATCATGCGCTGCACAACAAAAGTAACGAGGCTAAGCACTTTATAAAGAGGGGGTACCAGTCCGGTCGAAAGTCAAGTTCTTCATAAACATCCTTTGGGTGAATAGCCATTCGCAGCAACTTAATGGGCGTGTAGACGCCACCGGGAGTGAAGCTTCGAGGAGAAGGGGGGAAGTGAGCATTGGCTAGCAGAAGCTGCCTGTGTCGGGATTGTGAAGGGGAGGGGTTGCTCATGCGCAGTAACGGTGGTCACGTCACACAAGGTATTGACGTCGACCATATGAAGCTTCGCACTGTACTTGAATCGAACGCTCAACTAATTGCCATTTCTCTCCGGCGCCTTTTGTGGCTCTCGTAGTAGTATTAATAGACTTATTTTTAGCCACAAACTGAAAGCAGGGCCTTTTGACAACTGCTTCTTCATCGACGCGTTCCTTCACTTCTCCCACTGAAAGGCATCTTTTCTCTCTTTCTAGAGGCGAAGCTTAATACGCTGTCGCCACCGTGGCTGTGTCCCAGTTCCTCCTTCGTTGTCGTAGCCACCCCTTAGCTTCTCACAATTTTTACTGGCGTTGTGCTGTTACAGTACGTGAGAAAGTGGGAAAGGGCTGACAAGAGGGTTCCTAGTAGTACATTAACAGGCCCAGATGGAATTCCAGTTATGCTGATAAAGACATTGAGACCGAAGTCTAAGCGAACTTTGAGAGAGGCAGTGAGCAAAACAATAATCGATGGTGAAGTCCCCGAAGGATGGAAACTTAGCAGGATGAGCATGATCTATGAAGGAAAAGGGGACAAAGCTGACATCAATAACTACCGTCCTATAACAGTGACATCAGTGGTCTACAGGCTGGCGATGCTGATTATAAAGGAAAGACTGCAGGCATAGATAGAGGATAAGGGGATGCGAGGGGAACTGCAGAATGGGTTTCGCAAACACAGGAGGTTAGAATACAATCTGTTCTCACTGAGGCAGTGCATCGAAATAGCAGAAAGGGAACACAGGCCCCTGTGGCTAGCATTTTTACATATTAAGAAGCGTATGATAGCATGGTTCAAGATGACTTGTGGGGAATACTGGACACACTGGGTGTGGAAGATGGAGTCACAAATCTTTTAAAGGATATCTATAAAAGTAACAAGGAAGTTATAAAGTCGAAAAAAACAGCTATCCAAGCCCACAGAGGTAAAACGGGGGCTTAGGAAGGGGTGTCCACTGTCACCCTTGTTGTTCATGATGTACCTACAAGGATAAGAGGCCAAATTAGAGAGAAGTGGACTTGGCTTCAACCTCTCTTTTGTCAAACAAGGAAAACTCATTGAACAGACACTAGCAGCATATATGTACGCAAATGATAAATGCTGATGGCCGACAATAAGGAAGATTTGCAGAGATTGATGGACGTCTGCGGTAATGAGGGAGAGAGGTTAGATTTCAGAGTCAGTAAGGAAAGATCAGCAGTTGGCGGGATAACGAAGGTAGTGAGCTTAGAATAAAGGAGGTCACACTAGAGATAACAGATAAATAAAAATATCTGGGCGAATGGATAAGCAATGGGACCGAGTACCTAAGGGAACATGAAATATACGTAACGACTAAAGGTATCAGGAGCGCAGCAGTGATAAAAAATAGAGTACTGTGGAATTTCAATAGGTATGATGTTGTGAGAGGAATATAGAAAGGGGTCATGGGTCCTGGTATGACGTGCGGCAATGCGGTCTTGTGCATGAGATCATAAGTTCAAGCAAGATTAGAAATTAAGACACTTTGTAGAAATTATCGTTGGCGTTCTACAAAGAGCGCAGCGCAGTCACCGAACATGCTGAGACGTTGGATCACAAAATAAATTTTAAAGCGACGGCCATCCTTGAAAGCGAGCCGAGCTGGAAGAGAAGGTTGTTACTCGAGTCGTGGCACATACAGAGGACAGCCCATCATACCAACCACTCCCTCGCAACCCTTCCCCCAGTGTATTCACACGGACTGTGCTCCACGGCAAAACGAGAGAGAGAGAGAGAGAGAGAGAGGGGTCATGAGCCACCCCACGAGTGCATGAAGACGACGCTGCTACGTAGCCTCCGCAGTCACCCCTGAGGAAGGAACCAAGCCAGTTCTGAAACGTCGGGTTTCTTCAAAATTTTTGGTTAGAGTCTAAATCATCTCCCAGTTTTATACCCAACCAGACAGACTTCGGTCGAATGTTTACTTTCACGGTATGCAGTGCATGTGGAGAGGAGGAAACTGCCGAACACTTGATAATATTCTGTAAAGGGCTTCATCCTATAGTTCAGGATGATGGCGCAGAGTTTTTTAAAGCACTGGGGTGTACGGACAGGGAGAGCAAAATAGACTTTAAGCGGGTAGAACTTACTAGAATCTGATTAGTGGCTAAAGTCAAGGCACGAATGAAAATAAACCCTTCTTTGCAAAGTACCAGTCCTCCACTTCACTGTTTATAGAAAAAAAAAAGATAAATCAAGTTTTTGGTTCTCTAAGTATTGCGGCTGGGTGGCGTTAGCCACCGCCCAATCCAAAGGGTACAGCCATATTAATCCATTCATTCATCCACGTGAAGTGATCACTAGATGGCGTGGAGCAGACAGACAGAGAGACACAGAAGGATGCGTCGGAGACATGTGCCCAAGAGGCGACGGTGAAATGTGCACAAAGACAGATGGATCCTAAGCTAATATCCTGCGAAGCATCGCCCCACTCATCTTCATTCACTCTGTGGATATGCTGCAAATTTTTCGTTTCCACTGAAGGAGGATCAGACGCGCTCAAAACGCTGTGCCACGGCCATAACTGTGCACAGTTGCATGTCCGATGTATGGAGATGCAGCGTTCTCGGGCTGGCAACACAGCCTGAGTACTGCCTCGGCGAATTAGGTTTAGCAGCTGCGAGTATGCAAGCAAACTATTTTGAGCAGTTAGTGACCATCACTCGCTGTGCTGGCTAGCAAACCTTGAAGATCTTCTGGGCAACTTTCAAAATGAAGCCTGAGGCTGCAATAGCACGACATAACAGTCATGTACAAGTCTGGCCGCAAGCACAGTAACGCTGACTGCCTGTGACGCACGCCTGTTGAATCTGCGCCTGTGAAAGATGCAGATAACTGCCCATTTCTTGGAGCCATCATCACGTCAGAAATTGCCGAACATCAGCGATCCGTGATGACGAGTTTATTTTGCTCATCAGGTATCTGCAAGGACACCCTGTCCGTCGTTCGCGAGTTTTCACGCTGGAATGGTCGTCGTATGTCCGGTGAAACAGCGTCTTGTACAAAAAAAAAAACTTTGAACACAGCCCCGAGAAATTCCTACTCGTCATCCCTCCGACCCTACGATCAGAAATCTCGGAGCCCTACCACGATGACCCCTCGTCAGGACACCTGAGAGTGAGTCGAACATTCGCTCGCATTCGTGCTAAATACTACTGGCAAAGATTGTTGAAAACGGTACAGCACTACGTCAGAACTTGCCACAATTGCCGGAGACACCAGACACCTCCATTTAAACCGGCAGGCCTCCTCCATCCAATAGAAACCCCAAAATTTTTGTTCGAACAGATAGGAATGCATCTGCTAGGTCTGTTTCCCACATTATCATTAGAAAAAAGACGGATTGTAGTGGCGACATATTTCTGAGACAGCCCGATATGCTGAGACAGCCTTTTTGGTCAGAGGGGCAGCCATCGAAGTAGCTGAATTCTTCATTTCCACCATAGTACTACGATATGGTTCTCCTAAAGTTGATATTACAAACCAAGGAGCTGCATTTACAGCTGATTTGACGAAGTCCATCATGAAGCTTCCCACACGAACATCAGAAAAAAACTGCTGATCACCCGCAAACCAATGGCTTGACCGAACGTCTTGACAGGACACTGACAGATATGTTGTCAATATATGTAGACTTGGAGCACCGTAAATTGGACAGAATACTACCACGTGCCACATTCGCATATAACACCGCATTGCAGGAGACCACTCAAGTAATGCAATTCCAGCTTGTTTACGGTCGAACAGTCACTGCACCTCTCGATGCAATAGTGCCTGTTGGTGACAATGCTGACCACAATGTCGACACCAGGGATTTCACCGAAAACACCGAAGAATCATGTCAGCTGGCATGATAACGCATTCAACAACAGCAGCGAACCGATGCGCACCGGTGGCGGCATAGGGAGGTCGAATATGCACCAGGTGACAGAGTATGGATATGAACCCGCGTCCAAACACCTTGGCTTTCTGAAGAGCTTCTCTGTCATTACTTTGGTCCCTACCGAGTACTGCGCTGAATTAACCCCTTAAACTACGAAGTTTCATCGGAAGGACAAGTTAGTTCATCCAGGTGCTGACATTCAAAAGAAACTGTTTCACGTGGTTAAAATGGAATCATATATACTATGACTGGCAGTGAACATTCTCTACTCTGTGCTAAATGCCACTATCACCGACGCATTCAACCAATAACACCGTCTAACTCGCCGGCGTACTCAACGGGACGATGCGTTTGGAGGGGGGAAAATGACGCATACCATAAG